GCTGTTGGGGCTACATCGGGGATTTCCGTAGATTTACAAGCCGAAATTTCCTTATCGTAATCAACCGGCTATATGTTTCTTCTGGCGGTCCTAAGAAACGAAATCGAAAGGAAGGGAGTTATTAATCTTGCGGTAATATCCGTAGAACTTCGCCGAGAGTATTTTCTCTTTTCCCTCCTCGAACGTACATCAGTATAATTCGTGCACGTTAAAAGTACTGTTCAGTGAAATCAGAACCCCATGAAGAAATTTAAATTAAAACTTTCTTGTGAAATAATATATTGAGGTACTTCCGAAATGTATTAAAGTTCATATAATAGAATTAATTTACTTTAACACGGACATGAAAGTTATTAAATCTATTCATAAAAGTTATTAAATAAATCAACATTTTTGTATGATTTTATTAAGTGATTATTAAGTTTTATCATTAATGTATTCCTTCGATGATTGTTTTTCCTCAAGGAAATTATCATTTTGCTAGCATACTATAATGATATATGTGTCTATATAATATTCAACACTTATTTTTCAATAAAATCTTGTAAAAATGTAAATGTTATGGAGCTCCTGTAGCAGATAAATCGAAACAAACTTACATTGTCACATTGAAATATTCTTTTTCATAGGCAAAATTTTGTTGATTCTTTTCCTAATGAGATGACGAGAGTACAGAATTTTTTGTACATTCAATCGATATTTACCAAAAATATCCGGATTATTTACAAGATTATGATTAACGATGATGATGAAATATACAATTCACATATGAAGAAGCATAAGTAAGCACGATATTGATAATTATGGAGTGTAAATGACTTTGCTGATCAGCAATGATGACAAACATCCTCGAAATGTAATATAATAAATAAACAAAATAATCGTAAATTATGTAATCAAACATGTCTACATAAGAGTATTCTATAAAATATATTTGTTCGGTTAATTTGTTCATATTATATAGATATTAATGACACATATTCATATTAATGAGCAAATAAAATTTTAATTCAATATTTAAAAAATAAAAATTAGATTAAAAGTTGGCTTTATAGATTATAATATGTTAAAACTAGTAAAAACAATAGTTTATAAATACTTACATATGTATGTATAAATATAGATACATATTTTTTACTTTAAAAATATTTTACTTTAAAGATATCTATAAACACTTATTTTTATTTTATTTTAATAAATTTATGTAAAAGAAAGATAAAATCAATGAACTAGTCTAATCTTTGCACACAGAGATTAATACATATATAACATTCTTACATATATTTCTTTAAACTGTATATTTTCTCTACATATACAATATTAATGCAAAATTGAATCTTGAAACAGGCAAACGTTGATAAACGTAGGTAAGACAAAGATTTGAGAGAGTAGTATGAAGGAGTAATGTGGAAGGCTAACTGTCCATGAATACTATAACTGCGTTGAAGGGTAGCTACTGACGCAGGTAACAACTAAAATAACCTGAATTATTGAACGTTATAATTTAAACATTATAATTTAAATTAAATATTTAGATGGATTCAGGAAAATAATCATCAGAGTATATTACAATTGTGAGAACATATTAGTCTAATTCTTTAATACAATATTTAATAAAAAGTGTGAGATATGAAAAATAGTGTTAAAAAAGAATTTATTTGCTGAAAGATATGCTTAATTATGTGATATAAAAATATAATAAAATAAGTTTGCTGAAAGATATGCTTAATTATGTGAAATAAAAATATAATAAGCTAAATAAAAATATAACAAGCTATATAAAAATAAATAAAACAAATTTTTTTGAATAAATTTCTTCCAAAGCATCTAGAAATTTAATATGATTAAGCAACCTCTCTCTCGAATCTTCTTCATTATATTTAAAAACATTAATAGCTTTCTTCTTGCGTCTTCAGTTAATATCTTTTTACTGTTTTACTTTTTATATGAGCATTTGATATTACACTACGTGAATGTGAATATGTATATATTGCAACGTGTTGTATTGTGAATCACTTCAGTAAGCTGTAACGTCAGAAAGATAGCATAGCTTTTTCAGAAGATACAAAAAGACGAATGTTGTTACATCGTCAGTCACGTAGATCTGTAAGCTGACATCAAACGATGGATCTGAACAGAACCGCGACAGACATCGAATGCCACATGACCCTTTTATCAGCATTCCAATTGTTAAGTTTCATTCGTTGGATTTAAAAATAGTAATAGAATTTTTGTTACATTTCTGAAGCTGATATATCTTTTCTATTTTTTTTAAGCGTGATATCTAAAGGATTTTTATAATGTAAAGGACTATAAAATATTATTAGTCTTTATTATTATTATAAGTTTGTTGAAAACTTAAAACTTTGAAGTATTTAAAAAGCATTTTAAAAATAATCATTTTTAATATATATTGTGTTAAAATGCTTTATATAAAAGATTCTTGGTATCGCAAATCAGAAAGCATATAAAAAAAATTAATAAAAATTAAATTAGTGAAAAGCTAAAATTATAAATTATATAATTATATAATTATAATAAAATTATAAATTTTTTCATCGCACGTTGAAAGATTTTGAAGATAATAATTTCAAAGTTGCATTTAATCATTCGTAAAATTCAAACAAAAAGTTGAATAATTTAACGTATCTAAAATTAAGAAAATTTCTAATTTAAATATTTTCCTAAATTGGGCAGTTTATAAATGTTAATAATTCATCGACAGAAGAAATTGGAACAACATAGGGTACGTCATTCATGGATACTCCCTGATTATTATTTCTTGGTTCAGCCCGAAGAAGTTCCTATTACAAGGAAGCTGGATAAAGTATACCATATTCTTAAATTTAAATAAGTGTTATGCTTCAATAATGGAAATTCCGCTTAAACGTACGGAAACTTTTCGTGTTCTTCAGAGGGAACTGGCACCATTTGAGATTTGTAATGAGCCTTGACAGCAGAATTGCGGTGATCACAATGCAAAAGCGAAATCGTACGAGAAAAGTCCCTTTATCAAAGCTATATAGAAGGCGTTTCAGCGCATTAAGGTGATACGCGTATGGTATTATCACTTTCAATTTATTCTCCTTTCCTCTTTTCAACGATTTCGCAAGCGCGATGTGAAGTCGAATCACCGCTGTCTGCCGTAATGGTAGATAATAAATGGCAAATGTCACTGGTAGAACTTGAAAGATAGATGTAATGGATTTATTTTCAATAAGATCAATTCCCAAGTTTTATCTCATTCTAATTTTCTTTTCTTTCTTTTAAAATTTTAAGTAACGTGTATGTAAGGTAATTCTCTTATTTCTATAAACTTTCTATAAAATATCAATATTTCTACAATTTGTTTCTACACTTTCTATCTATATTTTTATGAAAGTTAATATTTCTATAATTCTGAAAAAATATGCACGGTTCATATAACGTTAATGCAAATAAATAATAAAACATAAAGTAATTTTCTTATGGATTTTAAATACATTTTATGTCACTTTGATAAATATACAAAAATTATCATTGTGTGATTGTAATTACTCATTGCTTAAATAGTAATCAATGAAATGCTGTACTATTTTTTTAGCAGAACATTTTTCAGTTATTTATAAATGTTATGCTTGGAGGAGAAAATTTTCCTTTCATTCTATTTTCAAAATTGTGAAATCTGTTCTGTAAAATTTCAATATCTTATTAGGTTAATGCAATCGCCTGATTTAAATACCCTTTTTGTAATCTTTAAAAAAGCTCACTAAAAAAAGCAAAGTAAGAAATAAATTTCCTCTTTCGATATAATTATATAAAAATAAGCAATTATATAAAAGATATTCTGTTAAAAAAAAAGAATATTATATTGCACTGTAACAGTTGCTAATCTATTAAAACACAACTCTATTCCAATAAGAATAGAATCTATATTAAAGACAAATAATACGTTATTTTTTTTTAATAAGACAACTAGATAATACCTAATATTTGTCAAATATTCATATTATTCTGTTTATCTCCTGTATATTAACTCTGCATTTATTTCTTAAGACAGATACAGATTTGTCGCTATTCACAAATCGTATTGAAAATCAATTAATGACACGAAACAGCATGATATTGTATTTCTATCTACATTGATATGCAACGATGATATGAACAATACAACAATGTATCCGTTCTTACTAATATCTAATATAGATTTGATATTTGTATATACACTGATGATCTATTATTTTATTAGAATGCCTATTTCGCAAGATTTATTTGGCTAAAAATATACCGTGCAAACAATCGACAAAGAGATGATTCAGAACATGCTAAATGAAACGTCGTGACTCATTTAAATGATAAGTAAAATCTATATTAATCTTGTATTTATTATTTACTGTCAATATTTAAATATCGAATAATTAAATTTAATATTATAATCCATTCTAATGTATATTTCACAATACTTGTTTAGCCGAATGTCTATCGAGTAAATAATTGACAAAGCAACGACTATATTTTCAGATATCCATTGAAAATCTTATCTTGAATATTTAATTTATTTATATTAAGCGAAATAATGACGATCGTAAAAGGCGATACTATCCGTATACTATCTATTATTCAAAATATATAAAAATGTTTGAACACCGTGCCGCCGAATGCCGCGTCACTTGACGCGTGAAGTTGACCGCGCGAGAAATTAGTCTCTATCGCCCCCCCCTCTCTCCCCGTCTCAACAACTTCACGTATCGTTATTCGCAAATCGCAGAACGCGATCGAACGCGACGGGTATCAGACGGACCGGTTGCGGAAGGGCGATGCGATCAAACGGTAATTAAAACGTTGAAATATTAATCCTAGCATAGTTAAAAAATTAGGTATTCGCGACGTCAAGAGCGAGACGCACAGCGTTGCCGATCCGCTGCGTCATTGCGTCGTTCTTGGCACGCGAAGGTGACCGCGCGCGGGAGACGCGCGCGAAACCCCCCGCCATCTTGATTACACGTTTGCTTTAAGTCGCAGATCGCGGCGGACACGGAACGGGCCAGCTCCGAGATAACTGATGGCACGGCTCGATCAAACGATAATTGAAACATAATTGCGATGTTAACTGCGTAGCAATTAGAAGATTCGGTATTCGCGATGCCAAGAATGGGACGGCCATCGAGTTGTCGCGTCGTTGCGTCATTTTTTGGCAAGTAAAGATAATCGCGGGAGATGATAAGCCTTCTTGCTTTGTGGCGTACATAGAACGGACCGGCCCCAAGACGAGTGGCAGCATGACTAATCAAACGGTAATTAAAAATATTAATTAACACGTGTAGCTATAGATTTTTTATATTCATGACGTCAAGAACGGGATGCGTTATCAAACTGCCGCGATGACAAAGTGGTTTGTTCGCGTGCTCCAATATGTTCCTGTCATATAGCTCTTTCTCATTCTAATGCCCTCATTAGAGTGAGTAGGAACTATGGCAGGAGCATATTGGAGCATGCGACGCAAACAAACCTAAGATATATATAATAGCGTAAGTATAATATATAGGTATAAGAATAATAGTATAAATATAATAT